GTTTTATTCTAAACATTTCAGAGATTGAACTGATCATGCTAATTAATCAAAATTATTATAAGCAACCTTTTTAGATAGTTCTATAGCAAATATATCTCTTAATTTTGTCTTACAAAATCAATATTCTTCTTAACCTATTCATACTTTAATTATTAAATGGAAAAACCTACCACGATAGAACCATTCTCCATCACGATGATCCTATCTATAATCGTATTCAAACGATGTGCAATCGTGATAACGGTGCATTCTTTAAAACTGCTCCTTATTGTATCCTGAATTAAAGCATCCGTGCTAGATGTAAATTTATAACATATAAAATTTAGAAATATCTCTCTCTCTCTCTCTCTCTCTCTCTCTCTCTCTCTCGTACATTGCAAATTATAGATACAAAATATATACGATTTTAATGGATATATCTACCAATCTGATTTAATTTGAAAAGATTTGCTTTCTATTAATCTTGAATTTATTATAAAACGAATGTTTATCGTACCCGATTGTAACTTGATGTACCCTTGTAACATACTGTGAAAATACTTTATATTATTCGCAATCATTCGCAAAAAGTAGTAACTTAATAATAGAAAGTTGAATTATTTACATATGGTAATTTATTGCTATACCTCATAACAAATAAAGTCACGTTTATATTATAATAAATTCTCAAAAGTCACATCATAACTTGTGATATTACTGTAAAATCATCAAAAGCTATACCACATCATATCTTGATCTATTTGTGTCATAAATAAATAACTGTTAATTAATCTGTATAATGATATCACACCTACAAAGCGGATATTCGTACAGTACAATAATTTTACTGTCGTATCACACCCATGACAAGATAAATATTTGCATATCATCATGACTTTGTTGTGATTACTGTGACTTCATTTGCTGAAGAATTTATTGATATATAATTAATCAATCAAAAATTTATTGTCTTCACTAAATAATATTTATATTAAATACAATCCTAAAGAATCGTAAAGACTCACTGCGAATCAATATTGGCTGTGGCTTCATCGAGAACGAGCAAGCGATTGTTT